TCGGGAGGTAGGCTTTAGGGTTTAAGGGTTTAGGGGGTTTGGGGTTTAGGGTTTAGGGTTTAGGCTTTAGGGTTTAGGGGTTTAGGGTTTAGGGTTTAGGGTTTAAGGTTTGGGGTTTAGGGCTTAAAGCTTAGTGTTTAGTGTTTAGGGTTTAGAGTTTGGGGGTTTAGAGTTTACAGCTTAGGATTATATAGTGATAATGGAAAAGAAAATGGAAGCTACTAGTTAGGGCTTAGGGTTTGGGGTTGATTTAGAGTTTAGGGCAGGGGTTTTGGCCTTGGGGTTTGGGGTTGAGGCCCTAGGGCTCAGGGTTCAGGGCTTGAGCAGGCCAAATATATATACATATATACATATATATATATATCACTCAGTCGTAGTCATAACGTGCCCATAGTCAGGGTCCGACAGAGGATTATTGCAGGGATTCTAGAATCTCAAGATGATGGCTTCCTCAGTAGCCTCTTCTTTTAGAACGATCCCGGCTTCAGCGCATAATCTGGAAACAGCCCTAAACCCTAAACCGTTTAGCCGAAACCCTACATAAGAGACCAAGAACCCTTACCCCCTGAAACCTTAGCGCCCGAACCCCTAGCCAGAATTCCTCTTAATCGCCTCCCCCGATACAAAAAAATCCTAGGACCCCCTACTGCTGAATTGTTGAATATTTCCTCCAAGAGACCATATGAATACAAACTCAGACAAACTCATACATACATACCTACATACATACAAAGATGAATGCATTATACATGGATTGGGTTGTACAGGAATTTGGAAGCTGGCAAGTACTGGCAAGCTTTCAGGGGGCACCTCCACGTTTCTCCCATGAAGTGCAAGCTAATAGCTCAGCTGAAGCACGTGAATGTGCCGGTTTCCAAAATTTAGTGGCCCCCTTTTTCACGCCCTCTGCCCAATCCTTACAGAGACCCCCATGTATCCTTGCACATCCTGACATGAGCTTATCTATCCCTAGAACCCCCTGGAACTAGCACATAGTTCTACATACACATGCATTTCTGTTTATCTTGATCTCACACAGAATCATCCCCAGGATCCCTAATTTAAGCATTTTTGCTTTACGAGGCTGGAACTGGAAAGCAATTCCTCCAGCGAGCTGCTGATTACTAAGTCGGAGCGCTTTGGGGGCCGCTGGGTGGTTGTCTCGGAAAAGTGTCTGACATGTCGCGCTGACTATAACAAAACACAAACAGTTGAATCTTAGATTTCTATAGGAACATCAGAAGCACAAGTAATATTATTGTAGGTGACTAGAATTACGGTTATGTTTTATCGCTCTAATTTAATTTACAAAAGAATCTGTGCGATTACTGCCTTCACCACACTGTGAGGTTCTCTTTTCACCTCATCGGGAGACGAGCCTCTTGGAGTGATAGGAAAAGGGGGAGTGCCGGTGGAAATGTTAAAGTGTTTTTGCGATGAAGGAGCAGAGGTTTAATTTGTTTGCACAAAGGAGCGGAGGAATGAGTGCCAGAATTTTAATTTGAAGTTGGAGTGGAAGATTGACATTCAAATTTCTGTGTGGCATATGTTGCCGTTTGGCGTCCTTGCAATATGGATTGCGTCGTGTTGGGTGATGTTGGGCGCGTTCACGACGGACCTCACTTGCGAGAAAAAGGTACAGAGGTTTCCAGTGACTTCAATTTTCGGCGAATGCCAAGGCTTGAGTTGTGAGATCCCGGCAGCCACAGAATATGAGAAATGTGCTGGCTAAATGTTTTTTGCCACCTTTAGCTTGCGGCTAGGAAATCTCGTAAGTTCGGGGTCTGGTTCAAACGGAAGTTGAGTTGTAGATAGCCAAGCTGCTTATGAACAAGTGGTGCTGGCCTGTTGTTCAGGGGGCACCTGAGGGTCAATGTTCTAAGACACCTCGGCGTCATGGTTACAATGATATTTAAGACACGTACAATAGGGACGACGACGACGCTACCCCTGCATATGAGTAAAAGGCAGCCAAATCAAGGGCAGACACATGAGCCGTATCAGTATAGCATATCAAAAACCAACAGACCGTCCAAGAAGAATTGATGTAATTAGAGGCTGGTGAGGCGTAGGCATCAGTTCAGAAACAGGAAACAGGCAGTAGTTTCAACACAGGTTTTGCCTCGATGCAGCCAAGGATCCGTGCCGGGATCGCGACCCGTGGACCTTGCTACGAGCTACAAGAGTCGGTGTCAGGAGTCAACTTAAGAAAGGTTTTTGTTTTGATTTGCGCCCACTCCTGACAGAACAGTCTAGGAAGAGAATTTGTCATGTAATTAATGTAGTTGCCGGGGGATGAGGTATGGGATGCTTGCTTGTGGATTGGCCTTCCGGTGCTCAGCAAATGGGATTCAGCGATCATGACCGGCTTAATGCTGCTCAATCTTTTTGCGCAGCTTGGGTTTGTCGCGGTTGTGCAGATCGACATGCTGGAGGATGTCCTGCAGCCCGATCAGCTCAAGGAGCTTCTTCTCTTTAGGGCCAATGTGGCCCATGAGGCAAAGTACGCAGATTTAGGTGGAGGGCGCTCCCTGGCGCGTCGCATTTGTAGCCAAGATAATTCTCTCCATCTGGCAAACTCACAGACCGGCTTGGTCTCTGATTTGTACAGCTACAGCGCAATTGGTCCAGTGCTGGCGCTGTTGGCCATTTTCTGCTGGCTTAGCACCACTCTGAAGGAGGTATTTAATGTAGTGACGTTCATGGACGCAGTCCGATCATGTCCCGTGGGTGACATCACCTTGGTAACGGCAGAAGCGGGTGAGGAAGCAGAAGAGAGTGCAATTGCCATGTCGCAGATGTCGCTCTGGCGGAAGTACATGCTTTATGGGCTTGTCTCCATGCCGCGTATGGTGGTGGCCTGCATGCTTCTGGTAACGGGCACGCAGTATCTCGCAAACACCTTGAATCTGTCCGATCTCATTTTGAATGCCGTTGCCCTGGCCTTCATTTTGGACCTGGACGAGCTAATAGCGTCCGCTTTCATGCCGCGCAGACCACGCTTCTTGTTGGAGAGGCTGGGCACACTGCGGGTTACGCAGTCTCCTGTCCCGGGCCTGGAGCAGTTCAAGGTGGGCCTCCAGGAGCGTATCTGGGACGTCTTGAAGATCACATTCCTCATCATCGGCCTTGTCATTTCCTGGCTTTACCTGCTGCAGCCTTTGCACCAGAGGTCGCATTTGGCGCTCAACATCCTTTGCAGCGGCGAGCAAGACTTCATCTATGCGGTAAATTCAGCAACCGGAATCATCGAAGCTGCGCCAACTTTTCATAGGGAGGGTCCACTGACGCTCAGCTGGCAGCAAGAGGGCGTGCTCAGGCATGCAAACATTACTCTGTCCCTGGCGCGACCTTTGGAAGGCCTGGATATGGATTTTGTGAGCCTTCAGCAGGGTGACCCGGCATTTCTTGGGGAGGATGCAGATGACACGCCCACAATGCAGAAACTTGCCGGTGGTGAGTAGGTAATGGAGACACGATCCCTATCTGAGTAGTTCTTACAAAAATTTTATAATCGTCACAACCATGTTTCGCTGCTCAGAACCAGTAAGGAAAATAGAGCAGGTGCTACAGCTCGATAGGAGCAATGTTGCTGCAGCGGCAAGTGAACTACCATGCACGGACAACGCCTTTCCTGAAGACCTTGTCGCGGCTCGATTGCGCAGCATTACTGAAGGCCGAGTAGACAGCTGCATGAGCCTGAAACTGGGTCACTGTTGGTTGAAACGCTCAAGCTTGCTGGTACTAAACATTCCAGTCTTCTCAAAACTGAAGGTTGGGTTGGTTATGTAAGCACTCATATTTGATTTTAGCTCCAGCGTCATCCAGGAAATCAAGAGACCACTTCTGCGCCGTGTACAATCTTAGCAGCGTGCGGGCACTCTGTCCTCAGACCTGTGGCTGCGACGATCCATTAGAGTCTGCTGCGGCGGCATTCGCCACGGTCCCTTTCGGATGTCCCAAGATGTGGGTGGTTTCAAAACTGAAGTGACCATTTTGTCTCTAGGGGTTGCTTTAACGATCACATTTGAGTTTTGGAAACTTCCAGGTGTACGCCTCTCCGCGATGAATCGCCGGCACTTCTGCATGCCCCATGCCAGGATTTCAGCAAGCAGAAGCTCATTGCCAGCGAGTACATCAAGCGATACCTGACGGGCGCATTCACAATCAGTCTGTTAACCCCTGAGACACGACGGGCCGCCGTGCTCATGTACAAAGAGACAGTCAAGCGAAAGTACAGCAGTTCTCTATCCGGCCGCAACAAGACGGCGGCCTTGCAACAAGTTGTTGACTATTATGCATCTGGCAATTGGCATCGTGACGTGGTGAAGCTGCATCATTGTTGAAGCATTTTTGCCTTGTTTCGAATAGTCTCAAGCCCAAGCAAGTAGCAATAGCCTTCACTTAGAGAGTACGGACCTTCTGTGTGGGTCCTGGTAGAGAGGATCGCGATGCTTTGGCTACGCCTTTTTCCTTGTCGTCCGAAATTATGTTTATGGTAATCCATGGTAATCCCGGCGTTTTTGGCTACATTGCGACTACACCTTTCAAACCCATTTTCTGGCTACTGCTAATTGAAGCTTGTGAATGTTGGTTAGTGATGAGACACATACACCCCTCCAAGTGATTGATTGGTCATGCCCTCACTCAGGCCTGTTCGTAATCCTTAGACATCTCTTGTCCTCCGCTGCCGTTTGGCAGCCTCTTGGATTTTAGTACCTTCGAGGGTTTGGTATTGCATCCATACGAGAGCAGGGCCTATGTAGAATCCTTGTAGCAAGCTAGGGTTCAGCCCCGAGAGTATTCACCATGTCGCAGTCCAGAAAGGAAACTTACAAGCATGCATAATCCATGTCCTTGAAACTTGAAACCGCCTTTTAGCCCAGGAAAGGAAGCATGACCCTGAAACCAGAGCCTTCGAACCTTAATCCTTAAGCCCCTGACCCCAAACCTTAAACCCCTGGAACCCTGCCTAAAACCTAAGACACTAAAGCCCTAAAACGCTTAAATCCCTGAACCCCAAGCCCTAAATAGTAGTTTCAATTTTATTTTCCATTATCCCAATATAACCCCCAATATAACCTTAAAATTACTCCAATGGAAGCTCCTAAACCCTAAACCCCTAAACCCTAAATGGTAGTTTCCCAAATAAGGGGACCCCAATATAGACCCCCAAATCCAGGAAGGGAAAGTACGAGCTTGGCCTTGGCATCCCACACCCTCGGGGCTTGGAAGGCTGATGATTTCTGGGTTGCTGTTCTGCTGTTTTTGGGTGCTTTAAGGTACCTTTAAAGGGGGTTGTATAGGGTTTATAGGGGGTCTATGGGGATAATGGAAAAGAAAAGGGTTTTTACTATTTGGGGTTCAGGGTTGATGGGTTTCCCAATATTAAGGGTACCTTTAGGGGGAATCCCAAGAATACGGATTCTGGTATCTTGCGGTCTATGTTGAGGTCCCCTCATTTTGCGATGCTTTCCCCATTTTGGGTGTAGGACATTAAAGTCAGCAAAGTCTATTTCTGTAGATCCTTATTCTGACTTTAAGTTCTTAGCAGCAATGCGGTGGAAGGCTGCGCATTTCTGGCCTCGGAAGAAGTCGTGGAGCCTTGCTTGCTTTTAAGGTTTAGGCAATGCTGTTTTCCCCCAGCTTGCATGGTCTTGAGGCTATAGGGTACTACCCTCATTTTAGGGGTATAAAATACTATTATGGGGATATACAGGCAATGTTATACGCTGCAAGAAAATCCAGACCTTCGGACGTTCCATGATTCATCCCAACAAAAATCCTGGGCTCCGTGTGGGGCGTCCTTGAAGGCAGCAAGCCTGACCCTACCACCGGGCACCCGAAAGCCAGAGACTCAACACTCTGGTAAGCAGGGAATGAAGGAATAGATCCTTGTAGCAGTCCACTGCTAATCTAACCCGAACATCCAGGAGTTGGCCGGCGGAAGCATCTGCACCCCACGCGCTGAACTGGATATCTTTGTATCTGGACCCGGTTTAGTCGGAGCGGGCCTTCCCCTCGTAATAGCCCACCCCCCGCCACCCCCTGATTGATCAGCCTGATTGCTTGTATGCATGTAAATGTACGCATGCATGTATGTACGTATGTGTGTAAATATGAATATACATGTATAGTATAGATTAAGCAAAGACCTGTGATTCGGGGGTGGGGCGAACTTTTTTTCAGGAAGGTGATTAACCCAATTCATACTGGAGAACAGGTATCGCTTCGTCCACAGTGTCCGGTGACTTGCGGCTGCCATGCAAACGATCAGGAGTGCCCAGGAACCTGCCCGCCGAGCCTGTGACCAATTCAGATTGCGCAGCCGCCAGCCCTTGAGCGGATACCACCCCTAACCTTAGAGTGATCCTCCCCATATCGTAAATCTAGAGCTGATATTGCCGCTACCCAGAAGACATTTCTTTGAGGATTTAGGTGGATCGTCCTGTGCACTGTGCACGGAAATGAAAGAAATCACCTATAACGATCGAGCCGCCGCATAGACAGCCAGAGAGAGATAAAATGAGATAAATGAGGTGGAGAAAGGGCGGAGGGCGTGCGACCAAGACCGACTGACAGACCTAGTAGATAACGAATATGAAAGTATCAGAGAATGATAGATGGCTAATTTTGGCAGACCGATATCATGCAATTCACAAACCAGGCCGACAGACTCAGCCAGAGACAGATCATCAAATCGCACGGACAAAACGGCAGGCCGAGAGACTGATAAATTCGAGAGATCATGAGATCGACAGATTGACAGAATAATACACGGACAGACCGACATGCCAGCAGCCTCGCCGATATACTGACTGATTGAAAAACTGATAGGTTGCTAGATGGACGGACCTTTTTTTTCCGGCCGCTTGACGGATAGATTGATAGACTGAAAGACCGACGCACAGACGCACCGACAGATTCGACAGAAGATCGATGGTCAGACCGAGAAATTGACAAATCCACTGACAGACTCATAGACCGACAGACCGTGAGACTGGCAGACCGACAGACCATAAGAACGACGGACCGAAATACGGAGAGATTGACAGCCCGGCACCCTGATTGATTGACTGTGATTCCGATTCTCAGAATGTTCATCAGAGATCGACTTGGGGGGTAGGTCCAAAAACTTCGAGAATTTAGGTCGGCGACTCATGCCAACGACTGAGCCGCCACAAAGACAGCTAGACAGAGATAAATGAAGCAGGGAGAGGGGGATGGGGGAGGGAAGAGAGGGCGCGGGACCAAAAACCTCCAAGATTTTTCATGGCGCCCCCGGACCAAAAATCTCAGAAATCTTAGAGTACATCTAAAGTCTCGGGAATTTCAGAGATTCGAGGGAGCCTGTAGGAGATATCTTACAAGAGCGGAAAAATAGCCCCGCATGAAAGACGAGACCTCAAATAATGGCATCATTTCATCGAAACATATTCTCGCAAATGCAAGCGGGAATGCGGATCTCGAATTGATATTTGATTTAGATATTACTATGTATTCATGATCTGAAAACTTTCTCAATCATTGTTTTATTCTATTCATCTGCACTTATTCGAATATTCAAGAGTAGAGTTATTATATATTTTGAAAAATAATAAGAATGATAAATTTGTCTAGGTATATAATCGATATATGAATTTAAGAAAACTATAATAGAAAATAATTAGCTGATGAAATTCGGAAAGGTAAGATGATTGATTTATGATATAGAAATCTAATAAGATTTTGAGGTTCTAGCTTTTCTATCAATTGAAATTTAAATTTGTGGGAATGATGACCCAAAGTTCTATAAAAAGAATTAAGGCTATGGATATTGGTATTCTATTCTTGGGAATAGATAAAGTAGGATCCGATATTTCATGAGCAAACAATACAAAACAGTCTAATATAATGATATTTTAGGAGATTTCTTTAAATTCAGAAAAAGCGAAACGCGGAATTTATGAATATTTCTTAAATAAGTAAATTGTGTCTAAATAAGAATTTTCGTCCGTTATTCATATAATTCTATTTTATAGAAATCTATGATTTTGGAATTTTTGATTTTGATGAAATTTGATTTTGATCGATTCATATTCTTAATTTTGTTGATTTTGATATGGTTTTATGATTTTTTTTATATTTCATTAAATCTGGTCGGAGGAAGGAATTAGGGATTTAATAATTAGGATTCGGGTTTAGCGATTGAATTTTTAAGGGAGAGAGCTTAAATTTTTAGGATACATTAGGATTTCTCTAAATCATTGAAAATATTTATTAATCTAAAATGATGCAGCGTATGGACTTCTTTGGGAATATAGATTTGCAGTTATCACGGTCTTTCTGCGGATCTACCTAAGGATCGTATATAGCAGCCTTGAGAAATAAAGGAAATTATTCTGAATAAAAAGAAATATTGATTTAATAAAAAATGGTCGCACGTATTGATCGCATTCATATAAATTAGTCTTATCTATGACGGTCGTGCGGTTTATGTTATCGCCTATTTTTTCTTGATTTTATAGATTTGAAAATTGTATCGCCTTGCAAAAGAATTCTTGCCTAGAAATCGAGCGTATACGAGAAAAACTTATTATTGAGGCAAATGATCTTTTATCAGATAAGTGGAGTCATTCGTCGATTTTGATGAGGAGTGCCATTTATAATCTCTAACATATTGATTGAAATTCTGGATTCAGAGGCTAGAAGAAGAATTTCTAATGATTAGAAATTATATATGTCAATAATGTAATTGATCGATTAGATTGCCCATAAATCTAAATGATATATAAAAAAAAAATTAAGATCTTTTTCCGGAATTCGAATATGCTCGAAAAGAATTAGGAATAAGGGAATGGGAGATTTCGTCGTAATTGGAATTTCAACGTATGGAGATTATATAATATATATATGATATTATCAAGAATTTAAGAAAATGAAGAAAATCTAATATAGATTTCATTTCATATAAAGAAATTTATATAGAAATTCGTTCAAATCAAAAATTAAATCATCTAAATATAGGTTATGATTATTTTAATTTGGATTTATCTCTTTTCTTGATTTTTTTGACGATTGTCATCTCAATAATATCTTTCATAGATTTAAAATTATCATTTTTATTAGATGATCTTTGATTATATTTATATGATATTATATCTATAATAGATGTTGATTGAAATATCTTCTTTTTGAATGAATTCAAAAATTTCATAAAAGAATTCAATAAAAATAGATGAAGAATTCATTCTGATATTTGAAATAATTTTTTAGAAATTGAATGAAATGAAATGTATTTTTTGAATAGATATTTTCATTCAAATTTGAATAAGAAATATGCCAAAATATTTCATTTCTAATAGATCGGTCCGCCCATATATTATATGCTATCATCTTCAAAATATAAAATCAATATCAAGAAGATGAAAATGAAAAATTGAAAGGATGAATGAATATTAGAATTGATCCGTTACTTGTAGCAACAGAAAATATTTATTTAAGAAAATCTATAATGGAAAATCCGATGACCAAATAATATATAAATTCGCCTATGAAATCCGATAAAATAATATATTTTTTGAATTTCGCATGATATCAAGATTCTGAAAGATATTAGATTTCTCCCCGGATCTTCAAATTTCGCCGAGCTGCCACGCAGATAGCTAAAGAGATAGACATATCTCGAAATCTATACGCTCCTCCGAATAATAAAACCGATAATCAAAGAAAATCTTGACGAATAATCAATATATAAAATTACGCATGACCAAAAATAGACCAATCTAATAAATTCTGAAAGATTTTAGATCTCCGCCCCATATCTTCGTCAAATCACCGCGCAGATAGCCGAAGAAAGAGAAATATTTCGAAATCAAAAGAATTCGGGTCGCGCGGCTCCCGCATCCAGCCCTTTCTTATATCTCATTTATCTTTCTAGGATTATCTATATTTCGGATCGGGGGAGCGCTGAAATCGTAGTAGATAAATATATATAATCTATATATTCTAAAAAAAATATATTTATCTTCCGAATCTACCGTTCCGTCGAATAATCGCCCAGATAGGCAGAAAGATAAATCTCATGGAAAACCGTTGCAGAAAGCAGGCAGCATCGCGCATCCAAAAATCTTTGAGATTTTAGAATTTCCAAATTTTCCTAAAATTTCTAAAAATTTGAGAATTTAGAGCCTCTAGAGATGGAAAATCTAGCTTCTATATAATTGAAATTACCGAAATTATCGCGAATAATCGTACCGTAATATTGAATTATTCAATATTTCTCGATCCTTCTTATTATATAAAAAATCCAATCGATAAGATTTCTATTAATGATTTATCAAAATTAGATAAATTAAAAAAGATAATTATCAATTCTATTGAGAAAATATAGCAGAAAAAATTCAAATATCTAAATAACTATAAGATAGAAAGAAAGCAATATAGATAAATGAATATATATAAATTCTTATATAAAAATGAGAAATAGAAATATAATCTCAAATATATATAAATAGAATCAATAAAAATCAATAGGTAGATCATTAAATATATTGACGAATAGTCAGAAAAATAAGATCGAAATAATATAAGCGATAAAGAGAAAATATTGAATATAATATGATTATAAAAGAAGAAAATAGATAGAGAGTGATTAATAGAGAATATAAATAGAAAATGAGAGAGAATTATTCAGAGAGCTATCATTCACGAGACAAAAACATAGAGAATATTAGAGAAAATATTTTCATATTCTCTATGAAGAAATAATAAATCCGCCGACCTTGGGGGACGTATTGGATGGTTGCCGAAGGCGGAGAGGCTGAAAATCCTCTTCCTTTCTCCCTTACAGGGGGGGGGGGGGGGAGGGGGGGGTATCCCGGCTTCGTTTCCCTCCAGGTCCCCACCTCCGAAGCNNCCACGCCTTCGCCAGGCTCCCATCAGGAGGAATCGTAATTTGAGAGGTTTTGGTGGTTTTTGTGGGGAAAAGGCCCCAGGCCCCTGG